TGGTTTGCAAAGCATGGGTTATGCCATCGTTGTTTGTGGTGCCCTAGGAGGAGGCAGAGCTGATTCATTGAAAAATCACATTGAAATCACATTGAAATCACATTGAAAGCATATTGAAAGTGCTGTGAATGTGGTGACCACAGCCTAAAGGGGCAGAATATATGGGCCCTGTCACAGGGCATCACAGGGCACCAGTGGTGGCAAAACAAGCCATCTCCTCCTGCTGCGTCTGGTGTCCTTGCTTAGTTTACATTTGTGGGTATGTGTGGCTTACAGTGAGAATAAATGCTCTTGCCCAGCAGCTGCCTGGAGGGAAGGAGGAGGAGCTGGTTCTGAGTTACAGCAGAGTGGGACAATCCCCTCCCCTGCCTGACTGGTGATGCTGTGTTCCCAGTTACAGCAGAGTGGGACAATCCCCTCCCCTGCCTGACTGGTGATGCTGTGCCTGGTGCCCCCCAGGCCTGGGCACTGCTGGCTCATGTTCAGGCTGCCATTGACCAGGACACCCAGGACCCTTTCCATGACTGTCCAGCCTCTCGTTCCCTGATCTATCCACACACCCAGGGTTGCCCTGTCCCAGGCACAGAATCAGCACTTTCCCTTGTTAAATGTCACGCAGTTGGTGACTGCCCAGCCCTGTAATTTGTTAGGTCTCCCTGCAGAGCCTCTCTGCCTTCGAGGGAGTCAAGACTTCCTCTCAGTATCTCCCTTGGCTTTTGAATATCTGTTGAGCTGAATTTGGGCAGCTTATCCCAGCCGCTGCTCTGGGTCTCTCATGCACTGCCAGAGACTGAGGCAGACCCGAGTGCAGCAGGTCTCTGCTGAGCTCAGAGCTGCTGGCCCTGAGGAGAAATCTGTCACCCACACACCCTGCTGAGCTTGGCTGGTCTTGGCAGCCACTTTTTGTAGCTGAGAGACACAATCAGCTCAGGACTGGCTAGGATCTCTGACCTGGTACCCCCTTCTGCACCAGGCAACCCAGCCAGCACCTCTGGGAGCTTAGTGGTGCCAGCAGTTAATAGACAGAAACTGGGCAAAAGACCTTCTGCTGTATCCCACTTCTGCTCCAAGGTCTGGGTTCTGTGTGCCAGTGCAGTCCCAAGGCAGGCACCGATGTTCTTCTGCAGGGCAAGTTGCTGCAAAAGGAGAAATATAGGAACTCCTCTCACAGGTGAAGGGAAAGCATAGGAAAAGCAGAGGAAAACAAATGCTCAAATATCAGTCACTCAGCGTCTCTGTCCTGATTTAGAAAAATGCTTTGACTAAGAGGCCATACTAACTTGGTCCCCACCTATCTTCTGGCTGATCTTGGGGACTCCAAGGTTCATTTTCCTTGAAGGGAGACAGGAAATTAATTTTCATGGGGCTGCCAGTAGCAGTACCTGCTGAGAAGAGGCAGTATTCCTCTCACTGAAAGGCTGGAGATGGACTTATCTGCCTTCACCAAAGGGCTACAGGTGGCCCCATAACAATGGATGATTATCGAGGAGGTTTTGGAGCTGCTAAGTAGAATAATTTTAATACTGCTGAGATTTTATCATACCTGAGATGTGTTAGGCCACTGAGAGCCTTGGGCAGACTTTTTCTTATTCTTGCTTAAGCTGACATGATGTATCACTGCTGGTACCTGGTCTCAGCTAGATCTGATTACAGTGATTGTCTGTACCTGCTGTTCTGGTTGTGAAGTTTTTTCAGTCTTGCAGATTCTGCAGATAGGATCTGTGCTGTGATTTGAACATGAAATAATGGGGGTATAGAGAAACAATGAGATTTTCAGGAAACTGAAAGGTACAGGAACAAGACTTCAGTGATGCTGCATGTTTGAATCTTGGCTCATTTGGAAATCCAACAGATGAAACCATTTTCTTCAAATTTTGCTGGCAGAGGTATGAATGGAACACTTTTCCCTTTCTGGCTTTGTTTCATGATTCCAGCCAATCTGACATTTCTTTTTCTGCCTCAGACCTGCTGTTCCCCAGCCTGCATCCTCACAGGCAACATACGGGTGGGTCACAGTGGTTTACAAGAAGGTATTTATTTCTTGGGCCTCAACTCAGAATCTAATTTTCTGCATGCATTTTGAGGTACACATAAGCAGATACCTCAGGCAAGCAAGGAGAGTGACTAAGAGGCAAGGATATGGTGTGGATGCACCCTAGAAGTGCTGCTGTGTTATGTGATGAGGACCTAATGTCCTAATGTAATGAGGGATAAGGTGAGCACTACATCACAGCCTTGAACACATCTCTGCCTCTCCCAGCAGCTTCGGACAAAGCTGCTGACTTTCACAGCAGCTTCAGTGTTGCCTCAGCCTTGCTTCAGTGTCTGCGCAATAAGCAAGGCTGAATGTACATTATTTTATTGCTCTCTTGCCTATGTCAAACCAACCCTAGCCAGTACCTTGGTTTTGGGGACAAATGAGGGATAAAGCAAATGAAAAAAAAAAAAAAAAAGAGAGAAAACAAGAAAAACTATCGGTAGCAGTTACTGCTCAGTTCAGACAGATGACAGCATTTTATTATCTCTTGCATGGTATCCAGGGGAACCTCAGGAGCTCCCTAGCAACAATACAGCAGGAAAAGGAAGTGTCTTAATTCCTGGAGCTAATGTGTTTGTGCAGGGCTATCGGCCTGTTGGCCCTATCTGTCCTGGTTGTAATGGTATGGAGAGCTGCTGCCTCCTTCCACAATACTGCCAGGCAGCAAAAATGGCAAGGGCAGCAATTTCTGGAACTGAGGTAGAGGAAAAGGAGCATTCATAGTCTAAGGAAAACCACATGGTCAACCCATGAGGAAGGAAATGACTTCTCCAGTCATTAAGTGAGACGCATGGCCAGTCTGTGTATTTTATAGAATAAAGCTGTTGTGATCTCTATGTTATCCCAGCTCTCCTAAAAACCCATTTTTTTTCCCAAGTTCCTCTCCTCCTTTTCTATCTTCATTTAATCATCCCTTTATTCATATCTAATGTTTCCATGTATCTGAAGATGACATGTGATCCTGCATTGTTCCCCTTTCAGCTCTGCTGAAAAAACAGGAAACCATACTATCTTTGTTCCCTCAGGACTGGTTTTATAAAGGATCCCAAATTTCCTTGATGGTAAAGCTTTCAAAGACCTAATGTAGTCCTCTAAAACAAGAAGGTACTAAGATCCTCTAGGAGCTGAGAGACCACTGACACTGGAGACAAATGGCTCCATGTCGAAATGTCACCTTACAAAATCGATTTTAGATTTTTAATTTTGAAACTGTGCTTAGACATGTCTCCCCTTTATTATATATGGCATCAGTGTATCTTTAATTTCCTCTGCATTTGGGATTTGTTCACCTGTTGCTATTCCCCTGAAGGGCACCAAGACAGGGCGAGTTTTGCATGAGTTCAACTTTGGCAAAAGGCAGTACCTGGGAGTTGGTGTGTCCCTCCAGTTCTTCCAGCCCTCTGGTTTGTTCCACTTGGGTAAGCTGATGCATAAATCTCTGTAACCAAAACTGAGCTGTTAAAAAAACTCCCTTACTCTCTCATCATAAAATTCTGGAAAAAAACCTACTGCGTTGCTCTGTTATCTCTATTTGTAAGCTTTGTTCTTGGCAGGCACAGGTGCGTCTTTTTCCAGAGATGGGATCACTAGGAGAATGTTCATCGTTGGTCTCAGGTGTCCATGGGACTGGTAGTTCCCTTCTGTTGCTCACCAGGGTGCAATTTCCAGGCACCATGTTAATGTAAGTTCTGCAGACACCTGGAACAGAGTATGCCTTTCTGGCTGGGAATGCATTTTGTCTAAAACATTGTGGTTTTCCCCTAGATTGTTTGGGTTGTTGGAAAGGGATGGAGTGTTCTTTCCCCATGGCTGACATTGCTTCCGCCTGCCTTGACATGAAAAGTTTTCCTCACTAAAGGGAATGTGTAATTTTGCTGTGTTCTAGAGTACTCTGACTAGAAGGGAACAACATTTGCTTCACCACTGATGCACCTCGTCATGGCATATCTCTTGTCTGTTCACCTCTGCCACGGATACCTGTATATTATGACACTTTCAACATCAGCAAGGTGTAATTTTGCCAGATCCATAGCCATCCACTATCTCCCCTGCTTGGTCATTTGCAGATGAATCTGTGTCCCCCCACCCAGTTTGATGCTATTGCAGCATTTCTAGCCATGATGAGCTGAGCAGAACTTGGGCTGATGATTCATTACAGGAAGAGTGCTGAGCATACAAATGAGAGGGTACAATCAGCAGCGAGGCTTGCTTTGCATATTTCTGCTCTGCTTTGCTTCACCAGTAGGAACATTTCTCAGACCAGCCTGCAATCCTCTGCAGACCTGATGGCAGCCCCTCCAGTGATGTAGAACTGTAGAAACTCTTCTGACAGGCACAGGCAGTGAAAGGAACCCTGTACTTACTGAATGTGAATTGCTGCTGGCATTCACCAATGCTAAGCTCCTCCTTTGCTGGTGGCCTCTATCAGTGTGTTTTATTAGTCAGGCAAGTGAGGAGTTCAAACAAAGACTGAAAGAAAAATAATGGACATATGCATGTCACTGCCTGCCTCATATAAATCAGTGTGCAATGATGAACCATTATTATTTGTGTGCTTCTAGCTACTTGTAGATGGCCACAATCCAGATTAGATGCTCTCTGTGCCAGTACATCTGATTGTCAATAAGAAGCAGCTGGACCCAGCTGAAGCAAAAGCTTTTTCCTGCATATGACAGAAGAGTGTTGCTAAAGTTGGCTGACTCTCGGGCTGTGTAGGATATATTCCAACAATAATGTTGTGGGATTTTTTTTGCTAAACACTTACCAGTTTTTTTTTTTTTTTCTTTTTTTTTTTTTTTTAAGAGATGTACTCAGAATTTCCCATAATGCATTTTGCATTTTGCAAAGCTGACAGTCAGCACTTTACGTGATCTTTTCTCCTTCTAGTGATATAAGGTAGGTTTTTTTTTTAGTAATTCTATTGATTGTAGTGATTTTATTTCCATTTGTCCACATCAAAGTGTTAAGAATCAGGACCTGACATTTATTCACTGGTGGGTGAAACGCAGGTGGTGGTGGAAGGGTATAAACATCAGTAAAGAACACAAAAGGATTAAGATACCAGCCCTGTTACAGAAAAATCTCCTGTTAATGCTTTGGTGGCCAGCAGAAATTCGGAGTTCACTGAAACCAGCAAGTGGTGGTGTGGTAGACCAGGAGCTCACCCATTTTCATGCATGCATTTGAGTACAGAACACTGCATCCAGTTCTGGGTACAGAGTACATGAAATTTTATCCAGCACAGGAAGGATATTGACCTGTTGGCACAAGTCCAGAGAAGGCCACCAAGATGATCAGAGGAATGAAGCATTTCTCCTATGAGGAAAGGCTGAGAGAACTCGAATTTTTCATCCTGGAGAAGAGGCAGCTTCAGGGTGATCTAATTTGGCCTTTCAGTAACTGAAGGGAGCCTACAAGAAAGAAGGGGAGAGATGTTTCCAAGAACATGTAGTGACATGCAAGGAGAAATTACTTCTAACTGAAAAAGAGTAGGTTTTAATTAGATATAAGAAAAAAATTCTTTACTACAAGGGTGGTGAGGCACTGAAACAGAGAAGCTGTGGCTGCCAGATGCCTCAAAGCGTTCAAGGCCAGGTTGGATGGAGCTCTGAGCATCTTGGTCTAGTGAAAGCTCTCCCTGTCCATGGCAGGGGTGTTGGAAGTAGTTGGTCTTTAAGGTCCCTTCCAACCCAGGCCATTCCATGACTCTGTGATTCTCTGACTTATGGTCTCTTTAGGAAAGCAGAGGAACTGGACTATTAACACTGCCTCCCAGGTGCCAGAATGGCCTGGTGTCTCTTTGCATTAGTTATTTGTGTTGAGGCTGTAGTGGCATTTCTAGGTTGAAGTGGGTAAATGTTTGTTCTGGTGATGCACTCTGATGCCCATCTCCTCTGAGCAATACAGTTATTCATAGAAGTGAGGAAATTTAGCATGCAATAGCTCAGGAAACTCACTCTTTCCTATTTGGAGCCCTAATTAGAGCAATTAATCACTGCTGCTTCTGCCATCTAAGCTTTCAGTCTAGAATATATTGTCCTCTCTTGTCAGAGCAGAAATGTAAAAATGGTTTCCCTTTACCTGACACTTTGCCAGTACAGCCTTTATCAGTGTCTGTCTCCTACCAGCTTCTATCTTTCCTGAGAGCTCGAGCTGAAAATGCAAAGGACAAAATGATGTGACTGTTTCAAAAGAAAGAAGAGGTGTGGAATTTTAAGAGATCAGCTTCTACTCTGTTTACATGGGTTTTAGCTGTATGTCTCCATTTGCATTACCTTTCCTGGGAATTTCTTTTGTGTTTCTATATTGCTGTAACAAGCTGACCATTTCTGGGGCGAAATACCCTGACATTTCTACTGTAACCCAGGGTTTTCTTTCCACTTGATGCAACTGAATCTTACCTTCACAAAATCTCTACCTATTGAAGTTCTCTAGGTATGTGCCCAGGAGAGGGCAGGATGAGGATTATGTTGTCTCTGTGTGCCTTAACTCTGTATCTGCCCCTTGGCTGGTCCATCAGTATTTAATTTAACTGGTTAAATGTGATTGTCATTCTGCTTCATGCATCACTATGCTTCAAGTGATAAGCTATAGGGGATGGAGATCACAGGAGAAGCACCCTGGCCCTCTCCACCTCAAACTACATAACTCTGTAAGTTAGGGATATCAGTGCTTTGGTTTCTCTTCCACACGTTCTTGTGACAGTGAATCCTCCTCCAGGAAAAAAAGACATTTATTTTGGCACCTGACAAAAGTCTAGCGTGCTGCACCCTTGGGTGCACTGAGGGTCTCTGCTGCTGAGGATGTCAAGGGCCTGCAGTATAAACGGAGAAGCTGAAGAGCTGAACAGCACTCTGCTTGCCTGTTTTTTTTTTTTGTTTTTGTTTTTTTCCTGGGAAAAACTGCGGTGAAATCTTTCTGTGCACAGACCTGCAGGTCCTGCTGGGGCCGCCCATGGAGTGTGATGGGAGGAGAGCCAGGTGTGGCTCCACGATGCTGGCAGTGCCTGCCCTTCTGCTGAGATTTAGTGCCTAAGTGGGGGTGCTCTGATGTTCTGCTGCAGTGTCGAACAGAATGAATGAGTTTGGCTCTGCGGTGGCAGTAGGGAAGATGAAGATGGCCATCTGTCCACAGCCAGTGTACACATTTTTCACACACACACACACAGACACACGCCACTAAAAAGTCCCAACATGTAGCTATGAACACAGAAAGTACTGGACCACAAGTCTAGTCTAGTCATGTATAGAAATTTTTGAATACCGTATAGAGGCTTGCTGCATTTCCAGCTACATGTATAAGGGAAGATGAAATTCATGGTCTCGTTAGCCTTTGCTAACATTATGAATGTTCTGACACTAGCATTCTGAAATATCAATTTTCTTTTGGTGTACTTTCTGCTGCTTTCTTATCAGTCAGCTTCAAAACCTCTTACAATGAAGCAATTCTCTGAATCTAAGATGTTAACACTAATGTTTGTCTTTTTGCTGTCCTTGATGAAAAATTAATGAACCATGAATGAATCAACACTTCTTCCCTGTTTATGCTTTTTTCCTTTTCATGCTTGGATGCCAAGAAGCATTTACTGAAACACAGGAACAGTTGTTTTTTGACTTCTGAGGTAAATTCATCCAGGAAAACTTCCAAAAGGGATCCTCATTCTTGGACCTCTAGGTCTTGCACACCTCAAGCACATAAGAATTGCCACAGCCCTTCAAGGACAGCCCAGAGCAGCTCATTGCTCTTGTAATGTGCTAAGTATCATTTGTTGCTCATTTCTATTTAGTGCCCCACCAGCTGATTGAGTAATTCAGTACACCATTAGCAGGCTCTCCCCATAAGCAAAGAGGCCACAGACAGTGTGCTGTTCCTTTGGAGAAGTTGCTAAAAGAAGAAGATAAATATTGAACCCAAGACACAACACCCCTGTTGTGAAGGTCTGCAACTGGATCACTTACTGTTTTTGGAGGGGGAAGGGGAAGGAGAGGCTAGCAATAAAGACATTTATTTCTTTTCCCATTCCACTTGACTTTAACAACTTGCTTTAGCAGAAATGACCCAGAAGCAGCTTCCCAAATGTAGCCAAGCTCTGGCTGCACCCCAGGACCACGGCATAACAAGTCTTGGCATTGTGACAGCAACCTGCTTTCCTCATTGTTGTAAGACAGAACTGTCCCACCTCACCTGCTCTGGACACACGCACAGCACGGTGCCACAGCACTCTGACTCTCAGGGGCAAGAAGCTCCCTGCACATATCCAGATCCTGGATTACTGTCACAAGAGACAGATGCTTGTTCCCACTGACAAGACAAACTCCACTGCCTAGGGGAATACGAAGCTCAGTGCAGTTAACAATGATCCAGGTAAACCTGGATGATGATGCTGCCTTTCAATATATTTCTAGTAGCTCTCCAAGGACTTCACTGATAAGGAAGTTTCTGTGCTAGCCAAATGCATTTCTGTGCAGCTATCATCTATCTTCCAGTTCGTTGAGAAAAGCACCCTTATGTTCCATCCAGAATAACAAACCATATTTCTTAGCAACAGTTTCACAAAGAGCTACATCAGAATTTCTTTTTGATTTAGAGCAAAAGATGAATCAGAAAGCAGAATATGATATTTTTTCAATCTTTCCGTCTTATTTTAGTGGTAGCAATTTTTTCAATTCTAGTAATTTTGACTGCCCAGGTCAGGAGGATATGCTACTGGAATTAACAAAACTTTTGATTACACATCAAAAGCTTTTACTACAGATTAAGTAGTTTTCAATACTTACATTTCCATTTCCTATTTTCCTAGGAGGTTAATTTGGACAATCTGCATACACCAGTAGCTTCTGTGTCATTCAGGAAATGGTAAATGTTCCAAAATGCAAGGAAATAGAACTGTCTCAGTGGCTCTTTCCTTTCTAGTGAAATATGATTTTCTTTTGGTAGGACTTTTCCATGTTTCTAGGACCCATTGGACCTAGGTGTAGCAACATCAGCCTCTCCTGAGATCCACCACTGACAATCCCTTGTGGGGGCATACATTTTAATCATGTATGGATGGCAGCTGCACAGACCATGAGATTGTACATACCTCGTCCAAAATCCATGACTGTCTGATTGCCTGTAACTACCTTTTTTTTTTGTAGCACAACTTTGCGCTGTTGCCTCCTTAATTTGTGACAAAATGCCAGAATTTGCATGTTGGCAAGTCAGGCCTCATCCCCACCATGTGTCAAATTCCTTATATGACCTCTACAGGAATTGGTGGCACTCAGTAATTTGTAGGACAGCTCTACTTAATCTCCCTAAATTTAATAATTTAAATGCCTGGAGATTTCACTGAGTATTTTTGTGAGATGAGCTTTCATTTAAAATGTAGAACCTGGTAGAAAAAGCAAATTCTGAAAGAACCTTCTCTAAACCCAAGTATTAGATTTCCAAAAAATATAAACCCTGGAAAATAATCCTTTTAGATACTATAGGTATTCTTCCATTCTCAAATCTTAATATAAAACCAATGAATGCTTTGGAACGTTTAGTCCTCTGAACCCATTAAGAGGATCATGATAAGCTTTCTCTCCTCCCACACTTCACTTTATCCTCTGCTAACAATGGCCACAGAGGAGACAAACTGGTAAGGATGCTCAAGGTATTTAGTAGGTGTTTAAATCCTACCTGCTGAAGTGAAATAATGATTCATTTGCAAACACCATTAAATTAATTTCCCCATCAGACAGAACCTGTGCCAGAAGCAGTCCATAAGTGAAACCCTGGGAATTCTGCTAAGTTGTATTGCCATGGGAATACATCTACACTTGACTTTTCTGTCTTCTGGCGATGAGTCAGTGGATGTTTTTCACTAGAAGTGTTCCCTTCCACAAAGCTTAAGGAGGTCTTCCAGGTATCTAAAATTCCAAAATCAAAGTAGTAGCAAACTGTGACATCATCTCCACTCCTGCCTCAAGGTAAATTCACTGAAGTTTAAGGCATTTGGGTATGAAAAAGGAATGGAACAGGACAGCAAGGCTTTCATCTGTGAAGGAGCTACACCTAAGAGAGTTATTGGCTAGAAAGTACATAGCACACCTGTCCGATAGACAGCGAGGCAGTTACTCGAATCACATTTTTAGAAGACCAGTTTGAGGATTTCACTCTTCAAAAGCTATGCAAAGGAAGAATTTCAGAACTGGTAGTGTAAGAACGAGAACACAGTGTGCTCAATTTAAAATTCAGATTTCTTCTAGTTATTTTGTTTTGGCAGTGCCTCCTTTGGGGTGGGAAACATTGTATGCTGAATTGTTGCAACAGGTAATTGAAGATTTTCCCCCAGCACTCCATTGGAAATCCACTGTGTATTTCCTGAAGTCCATCTGTTATCTACCAAACTGTTATTAAATGAGCTACTGCTGATTCTGGAACATACACCAGCCCTAGTCCCATTAACTATTGAGAGATAATGAAGAAATTTAAAAACTGGACAGTGATCATGACAAATTTGAGTCCTACCCTTATGCATTTTAATTGGAAATATGTGCCTGGATTAAGGAGAGGTAACTCTAACACAAGTATAGAGTGCCATCATACAAAATGAACACATTTTTGCCAGCAGAATTTATCTAAAATATTTGAACATCTTGTAACTGAGAAATACCTGACTTAAGGAAACAGACTCAACTTCATGGTAAAACCTCGAATTTTATACCATGGTTCCTCTTGTACCAATTTTAAGTATCTGAAAACCAAGTTTTTGTAATGAAAATGGTAATTAAATACTAGTTTCAGTTATTATTACTATTAGACATGCACCTAAAACAATAAAGAATATGAAATGAAGAGCATTAGGCTTTTCTTATAGGATATGCTGTGCTTTAAAACTTATTTTATTGATCCTAAAGTTACAAGATCAATTACTGACATTTTCTTGAGGATCAATCTTGGATTAAATGGCAAAATGAAGAAAAGGTTTTCATATGTACTATATCCAAAAGCAGAAACAGATTGCCACTCTCCTGTGAACATTCAGAAACCTTTTCTGATTATTAAACAGTATGTCTGAAATATATCTAAGTTATACCAGCCGCCATAGCACTTTTTGGTGAACCAAAGAAGTCCTACAGTGAAATCAAACTTTGAGTAAAATCTGTACTACTTTAATACAATTTCCCTCTAACATAATTTTTTCCCTGTTTTTAGATTAATGTATATTCTGCCTGTCAATTACAATGAAAAGTATAAGTAAGATTTAAGCAAGGATGTTGGAGTGTGAAAATAATTCCTGTGAATTGCTAATAGGCTGGTGGGAATAAATTTTTTCCACATGAAGGCAAATTCTGTCTCATCAAAGACAGCAGACTTGATTTTCCACCATTTCAGACCTTGACTAGCCACTATTACCTGCAGAAGGAACATGAAAGCTGACATCAGTCTGCTACTAAATCACTACTTCACTGTGACCAAAACAGTAGTATTTAGCCTATTCTTCCCTCCTTTTGAACAGATGTGAGTAAAGCTGGAATCAAAACAACAAGCCATAAGGCAAAAAAGAAATATTGTCATTACTTCAAGAAGGCAAAATGGAGATTTGACAGCACATACATGTTTCTCTTCCCTTCTCCCTGGTTTTGCCACTTAAAGCAGGAACCTTGCAGTTATCACCCTTCAGTGACAGGAACTGATCAGGTTTGCATTCACCTTGACAATCCTGGGATGGAGAATGGGAAATAAAGGGACAGTATGAGTCCTCTCAGGTAATTAACCTAAGCTCCAATGCTTCCCACACCAGCCTATTTTCAATTTTGGCACAGTATAGTTTATACACTCTAACATTATTGCTCAGAAGATAGAATGATGACTCAGGTTTACTAAAAACAGCTTCACAATACTGCAATCATGCCTGTGAAGCTTCAGCTCATATCCTGTATTTATAAGTGTCTTCTCACTGAGAAAAAAATTGGTGTGGTGTTTCATGTTTTATCAGAAAAGTTAAGTCACCAGACACCTGAAACACTGATATACCATCTTTAATAAAACATGGCTTGTTTGGTCAATTTGCCTGCCAATTAATTTTCCTGCTTTTAAAAACATGTGCATAACACTATAGGTGACCTCCCTTAATACTGCTATCCATAGAAATCACAAATAACTGAGAAATAATATGCCACTGCTGCATCCTGTCATGCCAGAAGATCGAGATTACTTGGAAGATTATTTAGAGTAGGTGTTACATATCATTTGTGCCCAGATCCACTGAAGTCAATGAAACAACGCCTACTGGCTTCCGTGGGAGTCTGACTTGGACATTATTCTGGCAATCTGTCCACCACTAAATTAAACTATTCCAGGGATAAAAGCCCAAATGAAGAAAAAGTAGAAATTTGGGAACTAAAATCGAGCTGCAAATAAATATTCTAATTCAATGGCATCCTGAAAAGACTTAAATAAAACACAAACACACTTACACAGGCATGTACACACACATACATACAAAAAAAAGTTATGACTTTAACAATCTTAAAAATCCATAGTCTAAAATTGTTTACATTTAAACAATTGAGTATAATAGGTAGCTTTCTTGACTTTCCATTTATTTCCCTGAGCACTGATCTTTGGAACATCTGGAGTTTCAGAAATGTCTAGTTCATAATTCCTAAAATAACTTACTTAAGTAAAATGCTGTCATTTTATGACCAAAAAAAAAAAAAAATCAATTCCTTAAGTAAAACTAGGATACAACTTCCATGAACTACAATGTATGTAGCCAATTTAAAAAAAAAAACCCAACAACTATTATTATGCATCTGCATCTGTATTTAGGCACCTAGCTGGTTTGTCTGTTTTTCAAAATCACTCTGCAGTCTAGCAGTTCCCATTTAATTCAGTATCAGGTACTATGCCACTTCATAAACTCATTCAGTTGGAGACCTACATAAGAATTTAGTTTCCCTGCTTTAGTTACTCATTTTGCAAAACCTCGTTTGTATGAGCAATAAGGTATGCTATGGAATTGGACTTGTGCCTAAATCAATATTACAGGCAAAGATTACTGGACTTCTCACTTTCCCATAAGGGGTTAAGAAGGTGCATCTGCAGAGAGGCAGCATAAAACCAATCTTCAGTACTAAAATGGGACCTAGCTAGGGCATATGTTTTAGACTGGCATTCCACACCAGGAAATCTGCTGGCCAAAAGGAGCTCTATTTTAAATTTCTGCTATTTAGAACTACTTGACAAATTGGCAACTGCTGCTTTTCACTCTCTTCTCTAGATTAGAGCTTCAAATGTGAGCTTCACAGACATCAGTTTGCAACTTTAAGACTTTTCAGGCATTCTGCATTTTAGATTATACAAAGTGTGCAAGTCAAAACATTTTAGAAAGCAACAGTGCAGAAATATTTGAATATTTCAGAATCAAATCTCTCTCTCCCCAGTTCTAAGGCTGCAAATTACGTCAGCCTCTCTGCAGCTAAAAAGTTCAAAATAATTTTCCATGAACCACAGAAATAGACTGTAACTTTGCATACTCTTAACTCTCTCTCCACTGTCTCCCCTCCTCTTCCACCTTCCCCCCACTCCCCCCCCCAGCCCCTGGGTAGCTGACACACTGGCATTATGCAGCAGGCTCCAAACACAGGATTAACAAAAAGGTTATTTTGTAATACTTCATTTCAATATACCTCAACTGGAGGAGGGGGTATTGAACCAAATGCAACCAGGAGAGTTGCTACTTGGTTCTTCCTACAACATGAAATCAAGCCTTTTGTCTGTTCTCAAATGATGTAATAAACTGTGCTGCATCTGATTCTCTTTAATTAGCACTTTTTTTATACTATCTGGTACTGGCATTCCACAGCAGAATCCAAAGGGAGGATTTAGCATTTCTTCTCTTTGCAGAAACCCTTTTTAATACCTCAGAGTTCATGAAGAGTTAACAGCATACGATCCCATCACTTCCCCCCTCCCCCTTTTCAGAAATTAGACTGGCCTTTCTTTAAATAAACAAACAAAACAAACAAAATCCTTGCTTTAAAATAGGAGTATAAATACTGTTTTGAAACACATTTGGAAGATGTCTTTGAGGATGGTTTATATATATATTTTTTTTTATCCTTTAAAACTGTGACTACTGCACCAGTTAAGGCTGTTTACAATATATATATATATTTCAAATAAAACTTTTAATATTCAAGCTTACCAGATTGATGAATTGTAACAGGTAAAATGGAACTCTTTACAAGGTAAACCATGTAGTTGTACAAAATAGAATTATACCCTTCACCTGTGCAAAACAAAAAGAAATCCTGCCTCGCATTAAAAACACAGAACCTGTTTACAAAAAGGAATGTGTACTACATTTGGACTTCCTTTTTAACTGCCATATCCTAGCAACATCTCAGTTATTTTAGTAAAGGAACTAATCATCAATTTTAAACTGCAGTGAATTTACCAAACATTTTCACTATAGACTTCTGAAAGCCTTTACAGTAAGAAGTTATCAACAAAAGCAGGCACGTTAGTGTACAAAAACGTTGTTGATTTTTTTCCTGTTTCTTTTTCAAAGTGCAGGTTTTTCTCAATGTGCATCTTACAAGACCAACGAATGTTTTAACTCACTAAATCTTAAAACAGAACTCAATTCTCCCAAGGAGTAGTGTAAACGTTAAAGATCCCCAATACACCTCTAGTAAACGTGACACAAATGTCTCTGCGTTGTTTAGAAATCTTAGCTCTTTTGAGAGGTAAAGAAGCTTCATGACACCTTTTCCTTACACTGGCTGGTTATCATAAATGGGTAACTCTGGACTGCTAAAGCTGGAGACTGATGAATCACTTGAAGGGAACTAAACTTGGCTACAGAGGAGAGGCGACGGGAGGAACCAACCCTTAGGCGTTTCTTGCGCAGCCTTCGGAAAAATTCAGCCGCCGGCGGACGAAGGGTCGGTGTGGGGGAGGGAAGGGGGGGAAGGAAGAGGAGAGCAGGGAGGGAGGGAGGAGAAGCTTCCGCAGAGCCAGAGGCACGGCGGCACGCCGCCCGTGTCCCGCTGCGCCCGCGACGGCGGGACCATCCCGTCGGTGGTGCAAGAAGCGTCCCCGAGCCCCGCGGCTGCGGAGCCCCGCTCCCGGCGGTCACGGCGATCCGGGGGCCGGGCGGGGAGCCGGGAGTCCCGGCGGCGGTCGGCGCTAAGTGCCGTGAGCGCAGGGCTCCCCAGGATAGATCTCCTCGTAGGCGGGGGGCTGCTCGCTGGGCAGAGGGTAGCAGTAGGGATAGGAAGCGTTGAGCTCGGGGTCCATGGGCGAGTAGCCGGGCAGCTCGACGGAGGGATGTCCACCACAGTGCACTTCCACGCCGGCCTCGTCGAAGACGTGGAAGACGCCCACGTTGATGTAGGAGACGGCCTGGAAGGGGCAGTCCCCGGGGCTGAGCTCGGGCTCGCCGCCGGAGAAGAGGGAGCCCTGGCTGTGGCGCGGCGCCCGCCGCCCACCGCCGCCGCCCCTCCGCCGCCGCCGCCGCCCGCCCGCCGCCGCCGCCGCCGGGGCCGCTCGCCGCCGCCGCCGCCTCCGTCCGCGCTGCTGCGCGGCCTTGTAGTTCTTGACGAGAAGCAGGTTAAGCAGGCCCAGGAGGCACTCCAGCGCGTTGAAAACGGTGGAGAGCACCAAGCCTTGCTGGTAGTCCCGCAGCTTCTGGCAGCGGAGCGCCGCGGCGGTGCCGTCGGGGGCCGCGGGTCCGCTCCGCGGGCGGGCCGCGCCGCCGGGCTGCAGCAGGCAATAGTGCGAGTACTTCCTCTCCACCAGCGACACGGTGTCGCCGTCGATGACGGCGCCGGCGAAGGCGCTCAGCACGCCCAGCATGAACACCAGCACCCCCAGAAGCAGGAAGTTCTGCCGCCCCCCGGGCGACGCCTTCTCCACCGGCCCCGACGGCGCGGCCGCCGCCTCCGCCCCGCCGGGGCCGCCGCTCGCCGGGTCCGGGTCCCCGGCCGGGGCCAAGGCAGAGGCCGGTGCCGGTGCCGGTGTCGGAGCCGGCGCCACGGGCGCCTCGTCGGGCGGGCGACAGCAGAGCAGCGCAGCGGCGAGCAGCGAGAGGCCGGCGGCCAGCAGCAGCCCCGAGTAGAAGGCGCCGGCGGCGGTGCCCAGGCGGAAGGGCTCGCCCTTGAGCTCGGAGCCCAGCGAGAAGCACTTGAGGCCCACGGCGGCGGCGCTGAGGGCGCAGGCGAGCAGGAGGCAGCTGGAGAGCGCGGCGCAGGCTCCCCGCACGCTCCACTTCATCCTCCGCGCCGCCGCCGCCGCCGCCGCCCCGCCGTCCGCCTCATCCTCCTCCCGCGGCCCCCCCCGGCCCCGCGGCGGCGGCGGCGCGGCGCGGCGCGGCCATGCGAGCGCGGCGCTCCCCGACGGGGCGGCTGCGCTCCGCTCCGCTCCGCACGGCAGGCAGCTGCCGGCCGCAGTGAGCCGGGCGCGGCGAGCGCGCAACGCTCCCCCCACCGCCTCCCGGTCGCCGCCGCCTCCTCGTCCCCGCCCGCCCTCTCTTATCGCGGCGGCTGCGGGGAGGCGATTAATTATGGATGGAAGCCGCGGCGGGCGGGGGGACGGAGGGGGCGGCCCACCGGGCCGTCGCGGGTGGCAGGGGGAGAGTGCGACCCCCGGAGAGGCCGGGGGCGGCGGAGCTGCCCAGCCCGTCCTCCCACCGCGTGGTGCGGGAGGGGCCGCGCGTCGCGCTCCGGCCGGCCCCGCACCGCGGAGCGCGGCTCGGGGACGCGCGGCTCGGGCAGGGGGTGGCGGGGGTTTGAACACCCCCCGCGGGTTCCGTTGCGGAGGGCTGCTGCTTGTCTCCGTGTTCCTGCCTCCTCTCCCTTTCTTAATTTATTTATTTATCAGCTCTTGCGCTCACCAGGAGGCCGGCGAGCCGCCGCGCACCGCTGTGACCGCGTTGCGGTCTGTCGGCGGCTCTGATGCGGCGAGCGAGCCCCCCACGCCGCGCTGCCCGGCCCAGGTCCTCCGTGCCGGCGGGGGCGGCGGTCCCCAGCGGCCCCCTTGGTTCCGTGCACCGCCGGTGAACCCCTGTGGGACTGCACCCCGTGGGCGGCGCGCCTCGAGGGGCGAATGGCCACGGCAGCACCCTCGGGACGCCCCGTCCGGCAGCGCCTGCAGCGCCGGGGGTTAAAAGCCAGTTTGGGGGTGGTGCCACCAGTCGCCCCGGGAGGTGGTGGCCCGGCGACTCCTCGGGGAGGACCCGCAGTAGCCTTGAGAAGGAGAGGCTGGAACCTCAGCCTCGGAGCGGGCAAGTCCGGCAAGGGGTTCTTGGGGAAGGCTCTTCTTCGCCAGTCCCTTTTTCTTCCGGGAAGCTGTAGCCTTTCAGCTCCCCCATTTTCCCTATCTGCCGTGCGCACGCCAGCCTTGCTGGGTATTTTTAGCCGGCGCCGCTGATTAGCATTCAGGGGAGCAAGCGAGAGAGAAAAAGCAGTTTTCCAAATCGTTTTCTCTTCCAGCAGCGCAAGTGCACCTGTTGGTGGCAGGAGGGGCATGTGTGGCATGATCCGGTGTTTGGCTTTCTGCAAGATGCGACCTTGCTCCCTCTGTCCCGTCGGGGTAAGCCCTCTTGGCACCTCCCTGAAGAACAACAGCACCCAGCAGTAATCTCGGGCAGATGGGCACGGGTCTGCTTGGCAGCACTGCTCCTCCCCAGAGAGGTTTCTGGGTCATGCATGGGGCAGCGGTCCTCCCAGGGACACTTGGTGGGGGGCTGTCCTACCTGCAGGCCAGCTCTCTAATGGTTGTGGTGTACAGAAGTATCATTGGCTCAGTATCCAAAAGCATCTAAGGGATGTGCCATCCTGCCCTGTGGGATCCCAGGTTCGAGGGAATTTTGCTCTCTCCCTCTTGTTCACAAAGGGCCCATAGAGCACTGAGTGTGTGAGAAAACACAGAAGTCCTGACCAATCTTCTTGTGTCCCTTGAAAGAAGGGGTGGCTGGCGGTCTGATCCCCAGCCACGCTCAGGTTTTCCCGTACCCTGAGGACTGAGTGTGTTGGCCTGCTGATCTGTGGCCGTGTGAAGATTTTGCTCTATGATCTGTCACTTTGGCTCTGCTTGTGGTAAGTGCCTGGACTGCTGGGGAAGATCTTCAGGTGTCTGGAAAAGAACTCACCCCATCACTCTTAAAATGTGAATGCATGGAGGACACACAGGATTTTATAAATTATAGCACACAACTCCCGAGATCTCTTGGGCATCAAAATATTCCTTTAGAAAGCACATGTAAACTCTCAGTCCAGCTGTTCATCCCGAGAACCCTGGTATACACACTCTCTGTGGAGGATGAAGAGAGGGAGTTAGTGGGGAGTAAACACTTAATGAACTAATTATATGTAGAATGGACAAAGTGCCTTACTCCCTGACACACAGCATAAACTTACATGTGAGGGAAATGTTTGATTTGTATAACTTGATTGTCAAGACCTTAAAAAATTGAAATATTTATTGTGAATGGTGAGAACATTAATTTAACACTAAATAAATACAAAACTAAGAAAAGTTCTAAGCCTTTATGTATCAATTTATTAATCAGCCTTTAACTACAACGATTTGAGTAGAAAAAAGCAAACTTTCCATTGTTGGCAAATTGTTCCTTTTTTGTACAAAGCATTTCTTGGTGTTCCTTTCCTTCTTGTTTTGGCAGCAGCCAGAAGTGGTCAAGAAGGCTTCTCTAGCATGGTTCTTCAGTTGTTCCTACAGCTGTTTCTGGTATTCAGTCTTCCTCATCTCGAATGTTGTCTTCTAAAGAAAGGACCTTTTCTTCCCTGTGCTGTGATAGGAGGCTGATCTTCGATTGCATCCCACAAAGCTGTGCGTTGTGAGAGGCCAGGCTAACACACAAAGTTAATAATGTAATTAATAATTCTGCTGTACCTTTTTGTTCCTCCTGTGGAGCAGCATGCTACTGTTAACCTTTTCCAGATTTTGCCTGCTTCTTCCTAAAACATCTCTTTGTCTTCCAAGCACCATGTTCGATATGTGAAGCCAGAAGTTTCACTGCCAACTTGTTTCATCACATGTTATTTATTCATAAACTTCCAGTGTTTCGCTGCCACTCTGAATTAGCCCAGTTTTTCACCAGGTTACTTACAGCTTTGCACTGTGACACATTTTCAGTATCAGGATACTTTTTAAACACACACACATACACATGCACACAGAGTATGGTCATTAACATATCCTGCACATTGAAGGTCAACTTATTTGGATAACAGACTGTGGAAATCCAGGGCTTCCCTCTGGCTGCCCTGGCAGGTCTGGGACCCTGGCAGGGGTCAGGAACCCCCCTGGACAGAGCCCCCAGAGACACTGTCTGTGATCTCTGTCCATGGAAAAGAGTTTTCAATCTTACAGGATGAATTACAAGCTCTGAGTGTTTGATATGAGTAATAATTAAGTGTGACACGGGTGCAAAAGTAAAATTTTAGGATTCTAGATTAGGGGTTCAGAGGGGACAAGATGGAGGAAATTGGGTGTGTCTTGTCCTTTTTCTCCTTCTTCATGCCCTCCATGTTTCACTGTGGTGTTGGCATTTTTCTGTTGGTTTAGGCTGGGGACACACTGTTCAATGTAGGTGATAGATATTGGCACGTTATTGTAAATACAGCACAGGTAGTTTCTGGTATTTAATGTTTGTACCATCCCACTGAGGGCAGAGCCCCACACGCTGCCCTGCAGGACAGAGCTGCGGCAGGGCAGCAGAACATGTTAGAGATAAACAGAATAAACAACCTTGAACCAGCACAGACGAATTATGGCTTCTTCTTTGGCAGTGGGGCAGAAAGACAGAGACTTTCTACAACCTCGGAATCATCAATACCCACAGATTCCAACAACAGACATTGTAATGATATTGGTACATTTAAAATAGACTCTATAAAACATCTATATACCTATACTGAATGATCTGTTGATGACTGAATTTGCATTACTGTAAAAAGAAGGGCTGAGCTGCTGTTGCAAATAAAGGTCACTGATGAGTTCTTTGGACCCTAAAGGTTATTTCTGATCACCTCAGTGCTAGCTAGTGGCCCCTTCCAGTGCAGTTAGGATGCCCATTTGCATGTTCATAGCTGACCTCTGTGTGTGTCTAAGTCCTCAGCCAGGTCTCTCTGCTGAACAAAAAGAGTATCTGTATGCAACAAAAGATGAGAGAGCTGCAAGCCACTTGGCCTTGACAGACATCAGTCGCTAAATTAGTCATTGCAGGTAGTTTTGAGTCCCTGGCAGCTGTTTTATCGCTAAACTTTATTAGTCATGTTTTCATTTTCCAAAGTTTATAAGTTGTTTTCAAGAGTTGTTTTGGTGGGCTTTGGAGCAAGTGTATAAGGTTTTGTAGAGTAGCACCTACAAACAGCACATATACAGTAGCCTGGAGCCTGTGTTCCCATCAGTGTCTTCACAACAATAGTCTGGGCTTTCAGTGTGTTGCATTTATGGCCAGTTCCTGTCTCCAAAGAATGGTAGCAGATCTTTGGTTCAAAGTTTTGTTTGGCTCACAGGGGAGCTGAGGGAGCTCTGGTTGTTGGGTTGGATGCCTTGGTGGGAGTGGGCACTGCCACGACCAGGCTTGCTTTGCTCACTGTGCACAGAACTGGACGTTTTCAGTGACGTGCAGATCAGCCTCTTAAACTTCTTGTGGTGACTCAGTGGCACAAAGGACAACAGAGATATTAATTATTTGCACTCTAGGCTTGAAGCTAAAACATGCTTGTAAAATAGATGGAGATCTTCAGCTTATGCCACCAAAGTGCATTGCATTATTTCATTGTCTGCCTCTTCTCCCACACTGTGTTTATGATAAGATGTATGTGTTGTTATTTCCGTGCCAGTTTGATAAACGGTTGTCATAGCTTTAACTATTCAGTCATGATGGCTGTGTAACCTACCATAACTTATTCTGTTTCCTACTACTTTTTCCTTTTATTTTTTTTTTCCTGTTTCCATAGCAGACATTATGGACTGTAGAATCTCCTTGCAAAAATTGCTGTACACGCAGTTACTAAGAATACATTAGAAATTAGAAATTTAAAACTCTGAAGGTGAAACACATTGTATTTCTTTCTGGTTCTTCTTCTTTCCCATTTACAAGGTCCACAAGAATATTTCTGTGTTCTAGAGGTCTGCTGTTCTCTAATTTTCACAGTATTTTATGGGAAAGACTCATCTCTGCAGGGAATTTATGGTGAACACATGCTGGAAAAGGACCTATATAAGGCTAAAAGTCTGGACCTAACTGCTTGTTGGGCACTAATTAAAAAAACATCTGCAAATGCTGCTTCAGTGGGTGACATTTCAGAGAGGTTGGGAAGATAATATGATTTAAAATAGAGAAAGCAAAGCCTATGCTAGAAGCTGAACATGTTAGTCTTTCCTGGGAGTTGTTAGTGCTAGGAGTTTTGGAATAAGGGAAGAAATGTTTGAGAAGTTAGGGTTATAAGAACAACATGGTGGTTTGCACTCTAAGATCACGGTGTAATTTAGGTGGGAAGGGACCAGTAGAATTGTCTAATGAGACCTGCTCAAAGCAGGCACATCTCTGGGGTTGGACTGGGTTGCCTGGGGCTATTTGATACTATTTGATCCATTACTTAAACAAGGACTTCTTTACTTATGTCACAAAATTGTTAAATTATGGAAAATTTTTGGAAAACAAATAGTTTCCTAACTACTGTTCTAGTGGTGGGACCTGGTTGGTATTTTAGTATGTAGGTTCTAGGCAGCTGTTAAGTTGATCATAAAAGATTGTTGAACACTTTGCCAGCCAAAAGGTGTCTCAAAGTCCTTCACTTTGGGCTTTCAGATTATTTTGAAGAGTGTTTCTGTTTCGTCTTTCAGTTCAGTCTGCATATTTCATATATTCTCATGTCTTTGAGATCAGTGCTGTTCAAAGTTTGAAAGATCTGTATGATTTCATGGCTTAACCCCAGCCAGCAAGCAAGCACCACGCAGTCAGTGTCTCACTCCACCACCACTGGGATTGTGGAGAGAACTGGAAGGGCAAAAAGTAGAAAACTTGTAGGCTGATATAAAGATCATTTAATGGGGAAAGGAATAGCTGCAAACACAAGGAAAGAAAAATAAGGAATTAATTCACCAATTCCCATGGAAAGGCAGGTCTTCAGGCATCTCCAGGACAGCAGGGCCCCATCACACTTGACAGTGATTTGGGCAGACAAACACCATCACTCCAAATATGTCCCACTCTTCCTCCTTCTTCCCTCCACTTTAAATATTGGGCATGATGTGAAATGGTCTGAAATATCCCTTTGGTCAGTTTGGGTGACCTGTCCTGGCTGTGTCTCCTCCCAGCCTCCCAGGCAACCCCACCTTCCTCTCTAGCTTGGCAGTACAAAAAGCAGAAAAGGCTTTGGTGTAAGTCCTGCTCAGCAATAACAAACACATCTCTGTGTTATCAACCCTGTGTTCAGGACAAATCAAACGCAGCCCCATATTTGACACTATGACAAAAATTAACTCTATCCACGACAAAATCAGCAAAGCAGGGTTTATTTCAGGTTTAGGGAAGGGGAGCTAGCTTCCTAATTTGGGAGAAAAGGGTTATTCAGCTCTGTGTCCTGTGATTTGACAGTGTACCCTCCCACCTCTTGGGACAACAAACCTGTTTGCCTCTGAGGGGAGGAAGGACTGTGTGTGCAGGAGGTGAGTTGAGATGGATCAGATACTGCTCACTTACTCAAGGATGTGTTGTCAGTCTCACCTGCCCAGGTCCAAAATTTAGACTTCACACAGGGATCTTGAGAACCCTGCTGATGCTACTTTGTCTTAGAGGAGACTGTCCTCAGAAGATGCTGTACTTTGTATTTCTGTGCACCTAAATTGCATTTCATTCCATGACTGTTTAATATCAGAGGCATAAATTGCTCATGAAGGAGGGGCTAGAAGTTACCTTCTCTTGAGTACTTTGCTAAACTTTGTTGCCTATTGGGGGTGCTTCTTTTTTGGCCTAAATAACCTTGAATTTTCTACAGAAGGAGATTTCAAGGCAGGAGTGGAGGGGGAGAGAAGGTCTCCACTCCAGCAAGAGTTGTGATCCTGGGAAAGTGTATGTTAGGATCTATTTCAATCAGAATAATATGTAAATCATTCTCCTACCTGTGGCTGCCTTGTAGGCAAAACTCATGCTAGGAAGGTGTAGCTCACTCGCATCATGATTTCTTCCTTTGGCTGGATGTTGAGACAAGGAATAATCTGGCTGGTCCCTGAATGCAAAGAGCATGGTGAGTCTGCCATCAGCCTACACTGATCTGTAGGCTAGGAAGTGCCTCCCTGCTGCCCGAGGGCTCACTGTGGCTGTTGCCTGAATGATGCCTACAGATTTTTGCATTTGTGGTTGGCCTGTGGCTTCTGCTGTGTCTTGGTAACAAAACTGCTGTCCTGGCTGCCTGTCACAGCTTGTTCCTCCCAGACGTCTCAGGCCCTATCTCAGCTGCTTGCCTGGTCTTTCCCTAGCTTGTAATGCAAGTGATG